GGTGAGCATCTATCCATTAGTTTTGTAGAAGAAGATGTTTAAAAAGGTTTTTCTATTTTTAAGCTCTGCTGACCCCTAAAAAGGGGCCCAATTGGAATGATATGAACAAATTCAAGTGTGACTGTCACAAGGATGCTACAAAGGCCAAATTTGAAGTAAATCGGCTTTAGTATGTTTCCAGAGAAGAAGACGATATTTGACGCATGACGACGGACGATAGACGCCGGCAAGCATCCCCCTCTGATACTAATAGCTCACCCTGAGCCTTCGGCTCTGGTGAGCTCATAAACTTGAATCGAGAAATATGTCATAAGGGACATAAAGCAAACTTTATAATTATTTTTATGTTAAATTTAGAATTTTAGCGGAAATTCCCATCATAAATAAATAGTATAATACAAAAATTTGGCAAAGCCGTACATTTTGTATTTACGCACACTATGAGTGATATACTGTGAGTGATATGTATTTTATTTCACCTATTAAAAACCAGAATTTTGAATTTCATTTGTAAGCAAAAAAACCTATTACAAACAATTGACAAGAAGAATAATGGCTAAATAAACTGTGCGGAATATTGACACATTAAAATATACGGTTTCATAAAAAATGAAATTTAGTCAATTAAAATTCTGAAGTACATCCTTATTTCTCTATTTTATACGCAAAATGTATATTTACAAGAATAAACTAGAAATGTGTCATCATGCCACGGATGCCCCCGCATGCAGCCAAAATTTCAGATGTTTATAATATTTAGTTTTCCAAATTTGTTTGTACAAATTATTTTTTTCATTTTAAGTTCAAAGCCCTTAAAACTTTTCAATGTTAACACAAACCATTTTCATACAATGTTCAGGCACTGAAATTATTCAGTCTTAACCTTTTGAAAATAGCATATTTCATAATGGCTTTTACATACATTTCAACAAAAGTATGAGTGCTGGAACTGAAAGTTCAAAATTTTTCCAACATTCAAGAAAGATAAGTTTGTCCAAAATCATTGAACCACAACCAAATTCAAACTTAAACTGCTTATTCCTAAATGAACTCTATATTATTTTTCAAAGTGGAAAGGGACATAACTCTTGCCCAAAAAATCATCTAACCATGACCCATTCCCAAACTTGACCTGGCCCATTCATTTGACATATCCATATGTCAAAGTTGAATATTGTACACTGTTGGGTAGATAATGAAACAGAAACTGTAAATTCATATTATTTTCAAAGTGAAAGGGGCAATTACTCTGGCAAAAAATCATTGAACCATGACCAAATTCGAACTTGGCCTGGGCATTCCAAAACATATCCATATGTCAAATTTGAGTTGATGTGTTGTACCGTTGGGGAGATAATAAACAGAAACTTCTGAAATTTCATATTATTTTCAAAGTGAAAGGGGCATAACTCTGCCAAAAATCATTGAACCATGACCCCAATTTGAACTTGTCCTGCGCATTCCTTTAACGTATCCATATGTCAAGTTTGAGTTGAATGTGTTGTACCGTTTGGGAGATAATGAACGGAAACTGAAATTTCATATTATTTTCAAAGTGAAAGGGGCATAACTCTGCAAAAAATCATCGAACCATGACCAAATTCCCAAACTTGACCTGTATTTTTTTTCACGACATATCCATATGTCAAGTTTGAGTTTGAATGTTGTTGTACAGTTTGGGAGATAATGAACGGAAACTGAAAAATTTCATTTTTTAAGTAAAAGGGGCATAACTCTGCCAAAAATCATCGAACCATGACCAAATTCGAACTTGACCTGTATTTTCTTGTGACATATCAATATGTCAAATTTGAGTTGAATGTGTGCAACCGTTACTAAGATAATGAACGGAAACTGATGATGACGGAATGACAGAATGACGGAATGACGGAAGGACGGAACAGGGTAACACTCTATGCCTCGGCCATTACATGGCGGGGGCATAAAAATCATATTTTGGTAATATCTGACCTTGTAATTAAAAAAAATCCGTATTTTATAAATACGGACATCATACAAAGTTCCCGTATATAACGAGTGTACGGATCACGGTATATTAGTCATATACGTATTGCATGATATACGGTCCGGTACATTTAAATATTCAAATTTCACTTATTTTTGCCTGTCTATCTATAATATTCGGAATTCCGTACCCTTTATTGTATCCATATATTTTCCGCAGTGGTCATAATGGCGTAAAATTCCGTTTTTAGCGGATTTTAACACAGGGCGATCGTTTCAATGATATAAAAATAACAAACGCCCCGTGATAGCGTGACTTTTATCCAAAGGGGTGGGGGAAATAAAATCACGTGTACCGAAAACATTGAGTCGGTGACCCCCTAATTTTTTTAGTTTATTTGACGAAGTATACATTTTGAAGGACTTTTAAAGAAAAAAATCAAAAAAAAATATTTCATAAATAAGCCGCTTTAAAGCCAAAAATTGCGGCTAAACTGAACGACAAATTTTACAAAAAAAAGACAATTTTCTTTCCATTTTTCAAACATTTTTCGGCTTAAAAACAATAAATTTTATATCAGCTTAAAGGAAAAAATATTTTCCGTCGAATGCTGTAGAATTTAAGATATTTTGTCCGCCAATGGCGTTGAAATACCCGTAAAAAGTTGCCAAGGATATGCAACGACGTCATGTTCGAAAACGGGCTTTGATGGTCAACTTACAAAAATTGGCTGAAGCTATTGAAATAAAATCAACGGAACCTTATCGGAAATATGGTCAATTTTTTGCATGCCAATTTTCAAGACGCTACTCGAAAGTTCGCAAAGTGTCGCGTTCTACCTTAAATAATGATAATTACGACAAGTTCTAAACTGTTTTAATGCAGACCTACAACTATGTTTCACTTGCCTACATGTGTGTCAAACCAAGGTTGAGAATTAGTAATACACCTTGCAGTTTTATGCTTTTATAATGCTCTGAGCAATGCAAAATAGAGGACTTGATTTCAAAAATAATATTCTCAATAGGTATGGAACTGTTATCAATCTTATTAAGAACGTCACCAAGATTCCCATATAACAAACTGGAACTGTTATCAATCTTATTTAGAACGTCACCAAGATTCCCATATAACAAACTGTCAGTTAAAGACTCAATATAAATAGCACAATTATCATTACTCAAAGTATAAAATGATAAATTACAGTAAACATTTGGAGTAGTAACTTCTAGATCAAATGTTGTACACAATGATAGATCAATAGTTAGATGAGAACTAACTTCAGAGGATTATTAATATTATAAAATTGGTCACAAATTTCAATACAGATTTTGTAGCTATAAATGTATCAATAACGCTGCACCCATTTTGATTCATAACTGTTAAGTCTCCAATACCAAAATCATGGCAAATTTTTGTAACAAACTGATTAACTTTATTATTCACTAATACTGTAACACCACCCATTGGACATCCACCTCTAATTGATGGTTTTGCATTACAGCTATAAATTGAATAGGAGTCAGAAATGCTTGTAATGTTATCAGAATAAGTGATCCAAGTTTCTTGTAGACTGATAAATCATAACATTTTAAGAGATTTATAAACTCATTAAATTGTAATTTATAACGAAGGCCTTCAACATTCCATGTAATAAATTTTAACGATCTTGATGTGCAGGGTCTTTTGGCACATCCCTATCCATTATAAAGTTGAGTTGTGTCAATCCTCAGGTTAATCATATCAATACCGGATGTCGACTCAATGGTCTCATGTATATTACTGGTATCAATCAATCTATTAGGCCGTGCACCACGCCTGAATACTCGTGAAATTATTCCTTCCTGATCAGTTTTTTTTTTTTTGGAAATGATAAAAGTTTACCACCTTTAAAGTATTCATTGAATCCCCTTTTGTTCAGATACTCCAGTTGCTGACGTCGGAGGTATGAAATGTCATTTGAAATTCGAATACTATGTGATCGAAGAACTTCTCTACATTGACAGAGCATAAATTTGTCATCTGGATTTTTAAATTTGACAATCACAAGTCTAGGCTAAATATCATATCTCCATGAGCTTCCACAACAGTATCTACATTAAATTCCTCAGAAATGGCTATTCTTAACACCTGCTCCTCAACAACTGACTTAAGATTTCTCACCAAACTTTACAGGAATATGATCAGTACCAAGTCTAGTTGTGCATATCATCGGCTTTTTTGGGTTCAGTAATTTTTGTTAGAGTTATGGCCCTTTAGTCATTTTTAAGTTTGTCGGGAATACTCCTCTTTAATACCACTTATGCAATTATAATGAAATTTTACAGGATTGCTTGGTTAGTGAAGTGCTTCCGCTTGAATGATTTTTGATCGAGGTTGGTCTCTTCAATAAAAGTTGTTTTTTATGTTACCAGCTACACAGACGCTTGTTTAGACTACTAGTCTGAAACTACTGGTCCAATTCCATCACAACTTTACAGGAATGATCAAAACTATGTCTTGTTGTACATCTCATCAACATTGTTTGCTTTTTGTCACAGCTAAGGCCCTTAAATGATTTAAATTTCTAATTTGTCCGGACTTAACTCCTCTTATACTACATTTTGTTCGTATTGTAACTTTAAATGATTGATCTGTAGCTCAAGTACTTGTGCATATTACACAGGTTTTTTTGTTGTTGAATCGTTTTTTGGCTGAGTTATTGACCTTGAATAAAAAGTGCTTTCTGGCCTGTTAATGAGTTCTGTGTCTTCTGCAGCACAGACATTGGCAACGACACATGTGATAACTAGTCGCCCTTGAGTAGTTATAGCCAGGTTTTTGAAGACTTTATGAAATTGAATTTGTAAGGATTTAAAAGGTCCTCATTTACACGTATATCATTATTCTTGTTGCCTATTGACAAGTATCTGTTCAAATAGACACACATATTTCAAGAAATTAAATAGCCATAAGACTAGAAGTAGACTAATTATTAATTTACCTAATTTATGTGTAAAAATGGAAGATTATTACAGTGATACTTTATACTTGCCTCTGACTCTTATTACATGGGAATCAGTATTTGATCCATCCGAACACACTAGCTTTCTTCCATTATCTTTCATGGTTGCTTTTATAATTGTTAAATTGAAGATACACCGTGTTGAATCGAAAGAAGTTGTGTATTGTCCAACATAACGAGGATCTAAATCGCAAACATTTTGTATACAACGTGAAATTGGTGTAATATCGTCCGCATTCTTCCAAACAATTACAGACGTGCCATTTGTGAACATGCAAGTTAATGTTAGATTTCTACCACATTCATCGTAGGCTTCATCAGCTTGATGACTGTTTCTTTGTATAAAAGTACCTGAACCTGCATTTTAACGAAAAACAAAACAAAACATATGTGTACGCTAGCAGAAAAATAAAATACATTACAAATTTATAAGTATAGGTATTCAACAAATGCTAAAGGAAAACGGAAATGGACGGCAATTAGCCAGGTTTAACGGGTTTCAGTTTGTTGAGGGTCCTCTTTTGCAAGCAAAGCTAGGGCAGATGACAACAAGCTGTTTAAACTAAACCATTGCGTTGCATCCCTTTTACAAGCGATAACATGCCTTACCTGAAATCAAAAAGTGATAACAAATGGGCCCTGGATACCTGAGAAATAGGTCAAAAGGTCAAAATGGAACCCCTTTTCACCAGCTTAATCTGAACATTTTTTGCACACTGTAACCCAAAAAATTTGTGTGTACTATTAATTCAAAATTGATCTAATGGTTAAGATGTTGTTGTTTTCTAAATTTAGCTCTGGTTGCCATTTTATTAAACAGTTCAGCCTGTCAATAAGTGAGCTAATCAAAAGATGACATAAAAAAGGAAGGGAAGACCTGGCTGGGGATTGAACTGTTAACCTCGTTCTCCTGGGGGGGGGGGTCAATTTTCACCGTAGGGGTTTCATTTCAACAAAAATGGTAGACATACACAAGAACATATTTCATGCCAAATATCTAAGCTCTACCTCTTTTGGATTTTCACAAGAAGAATTTTTATGTTGTTTATTATATTCATATTAGGAAAATCAATGACCCCTGGGGCAGGGCCAATTTTGACCCTAGGGCTTTAATTTGAACAAACTCGGCAGACATCCACTAGAAGATGTTTCATGCGAAATATCTAAGCTCTAGCTCTTTTGCATTTTCACAAGAATATTTTTTAATTTTTACTACACACATATGAGGAAAATCAATGACCTCTGGGGCAGGCCCAATTTTACCCCTAGGGATTTTATTTCAACAAACACGGTAGCCATACACTAAAACATGTTTCATGCCAAATATCTAAGCTCTAGGTCTTTCAGATTTTTACAAGAAAATTGTAAAGATTCAAAGTTCTTTAAGAAATTAAATTTGTGTACAACTTTGGTAGAGCTTCATGCAAGAAACTTCTCTGCAAAAGTTTCAACAAATTTGACAAGTGCTTTAGGATGATAAGTTGTTTAAAGAAATGTTTGACGCACAGACGGGCGCATGGACGATGGACGACGCACAGTGCGCCATCATAAAAGCCCACCTTGAGACCATTGTCCTCAGTTGAGCTTACAATACCTGCATAACTTACTTATATATTACCATGATAGCTATTAAACTGCAAGAGTATTGTCTTTCCAAAAGAACTAAAGCAATTGATGAAATATTTATAACAATAATCTTAATCATACCTTTAAACAATTTGATCATTTTAATTATTCTAATTAAGAGCTAATTGAATTTTATGAATATGTAATTATTCGATATAATGTTGTGGATTAACTAGAGCATAACTTTATCTAACAAGAGGGCAATGATGGCCCTGAAGTCGCTCACCCTGAGTGGGGCCAGTTTAAACCCCAGGGCTTTTATTTGAACAACTTTTGTAGACACCCATTAGAAGATGTTTCATGCTTAACATCTAAGGTCTAGCTCGTTGGTTTTTTAAAGAAGATTTTTTAAAGTTTTTTCTTTACACATATAGTTAAAAACAATGACACCCCTGGGACAGGGCAAGTTTTGACCCCAGGGCTTTTATTTGAAAATCTTTGTAGACACTTACTAGAAAATGTTTCATGCTTAATATCTAATCGATAGCTATTCGGTTTTTTTTCAAAGAAGATTTTAAGTTTTAGCTATACACATTTAAGGAAAATCATTGACCCCCGGGACAGGGCCAATTTTGACCACAGGGCTTTTATTTGAACAAACTTTGTAGACACTCACTAGAAGATGTAGCATGCTTAGTATCTAAACTCTAGCTATTTGGTTTTCTTCAAAAAAGACTTTTAAGTTTTTGCTATACACATATAAGGAAAATCAATGACCCCGGGCGGGGCAAATTTTGACCCCAGGGCTCTTATTTGAACAAACTTGGTACACATCCATTAGAACATGTTTCATGCTAACGATCTTAGCTCTAGCTCTTTGGGTTCTTTAAAAGAAGATTTTTAAAGTTTTTACTGTATGCATATATGGAAAATCTATGACCCTCGGGGCGGGGAAAATTTTGACCCCAGGGCTTTTATTTGAACAAACTTGGTAGACACCCATTAGTAGATGGTTCATGCTAAATATCTTAGCTCCAGCTCTTTGGGTTCTTTAAAAGACATTTTTTAAAGTTTTTACTATATGAATATAGGATAAATCAATGACACCCTGGGGCGGGGCCAATTTTGACCCCATGGCTTTTATTTGAACAAAATTGGTAGATACTCACTAGAAGATGTTTCATGCTAAATATCTAAGCTCTAGCTCTTTGAGTTTTGTAGAAGAGTTCTGCATGGAATTAAATTCTTTGAATAATTTTCAAAGGTGAAGTTCCTGTGAAATTGGATGAAATTGGCTTAGTGGTTTATGAGGAGATGTCATTTAAAGTAAGAGTTTACGGACGCCGGACGGACGGACGCCGGACGAAAAGCGATCACAAAAGCTCACCCTGTCACTTTGTGACAGGTGAGCTAAAACTTCATGATTTTAACAAGAGAATCATAAACGATAATACTTGAATGTCAATATTAAATGTTGGAAGTATGCAAATAAACATATCAGTATGATGAGTCTGTTCATGGACGGTAGTGGTTGATGCAAGCTACCGTCCATGTCCCCTAGCAACTACTTAAGTCGAATTCAACATACAGATGAGTATATACCGCGTTTATCGTGCCTTTGAGCCTACAATGAGGCACACCCCTGCGGCGTCTAGGCTCTAAGTAAAGAATTTGTGGGCCCTAAACGAGAAACTAAGCAAATAGAATTTTAAAAGTTGAGGTTATGAAGTCTTCATATTACAGATCTCAAAAGACAAGTTTATAATAACAAGACAGTCTGAAGGAGAGCTAAATCTCCTTCTGCAGTGAACATAAATGTATATTTCTGACCTTTTACCAACCATGACCTTGATTTTGTCGCATGCATATCAAAAGCTCATAGTCTCACAATTGTGATTATTTGTGCGAAGTAATTTAAAATCTGCCATAAACTCAAAAAATTATGGAGAATATATAACCTTGACCTTGGGGGAAGCAACCTGGATGTTGAGCTCTGCAGATTGTGTCATGGTGGGGATCATTTGTGCCAAGTAATTTTAAAACCGTTGAAATGTCAAAAAGTTATAGAGCGGACATACAACATAGAATGATGTTTTTACATTGGACTTTGGACTTTCAAGGTTGTGACTTGATTATTGTGCTCTGCCAATGGTCTCACACTTGTAATCATTTCTGCCAAGTCTTCTTTAAAAATTGCAACTGTTTTAATGTTATGGACAGACACGAAATGTAAATTTCTTACATTGACCTGTAAGTGTGACCTTGCCTTGGGGAAAGCAATTCAATTATCAGTGCGCTCTGCACATTGTCTCATAACGGTGATCACTTGTGCCAATTTAATTATAAAACTTTACAATGGTTTAAAAGTTATAGAGCGGACACAAAAAGTATACTTTTTACTATGAAATGAAGACTTTTTTAACATTTGACCTTTAAGTGTGACCTTGACCTTGGGGTAGCAACCAAATTATTGAGCTCTGCGCATTGTATCATTATGGTGATCACTTGTGTCAAGTTATTTCAATTTTTCAGCGGTTTAAAAGTTATAGACGGACACGAAAGTGTTATGGACAGACGGACGGACAGACCGAGGCCATACCTATAATCTCCTTTCCGCTACGCGGAAGGGGATCAAAAAGAAGGCAACATATCATACGAATGAAAAATGTAGCAGGAGAGGGCTACTTCCGAGGCGACAGGTTGCAAAATTATCACAACCTGGCTTCGCAAGTTCCTCTCCCTTTTTACTTGCTACTGATTATAAAGCCTAAAGCTTGGACTCACTTCGTCCCTTTACCCCGAATATTTGCTGCAAGAAATGACACAACACCAGAAAGTTTCCAGTTCTGATTTTTAATACAAAATTAAATACTTATACGACAATGTTCTTTATTTAAACATATAAACTTTAATTTATCAAAGTATAGACATTAAATTCTATAACAACTACCAAATTAATATAAAGAACTTTCAATGCAGAGTAATGGAAAATAGATATACTATTCTTTTACTTTAATAAAGAAATACTAAATAATTTACTTTTATAATACCTAATAAATTTAGTGTGGGAAGGGGCGGTAGCTTGGCTTTGTAACCTTTGCTACAAAGATATATTACATGGGGGCAAATTGGCTTTTTTAAGTTCAAGCGCGGTTACGCATGACACTGCAACAATGTGAAAATTTTATTACATAGGAATTGTACAACACTTAGCAGAATTTTCTTTTTGTGAAAAATATGAACAAGGCAAGCAAAGCATATAGTAAACCTTAACTAGTTAACAAATAGTGGAATCGGTGAAATGTTGCCTAATTACAACTAGTTTTAAATCAAGTAAATTATAATTAAATATGTAATAATGATTATATATTTCAAACGAACTAAATAGTTTTGTAATGCTACAACATGCATCCAAAGCAGGTCGACATTCCGAAATAAATGACAGGAAGAAAGGATTACCTTTGTGAATGATAGCATAAACTGATAACACAACCAAATATAGGATGTTCATCGTTACCTGAAAAGTAAAAATCAAAACAAGCAAATTCGTTGAATTTACATCCCCCGCCGAGTATTGGTTATAATTAATACAACAACTGAAGACATAAGGCTTTATTTATACATTTATCATGGCATAAACAGTAATATTCTTTGAACTTGATAAATATTCAGGGCAATAACAGAGCCATAACTTTGTGTTAAATAGTAAAATCTGGAAATGCCAATGAGATGTATGCATACTACATAACTAATCAAGGGCCATAAATCTAAGTTAAAGTGTCTGACCGGAACAAGCGGACGATATGCGCATCTCCTCTTGGTATTGATGATTCCCATAAAGTTTCGTTTAATTCCAGCCAGTAGTTGCAGAGAAGGAGTGCGGAAACGATTTTTACTCTATATGCATACTACATAACTAATCAAGGGCCATAACTCTTAGTTAAAGTGTCTGACCGGAACAAGCCGACGATATGCGCATCTGCTCTTGATAGTGATGATTCCAATAAAGTTTCGTTGAATTCCAGCCTGTAGTTGCAGAGAACTACTCCGGAAACGATTTTTACTCTATATGCATACTACATAACTAATCAAGGGCCATAACTCTGAGTTAAAGGGTTGGACCGAAACAAGCCGACGATATGCGCATTTCCTCTTGATATTGATGATTCCCATAAAGTTTCGTTGGATTCCAGCCAGTAGTTGCAGAGAACTACTCCGGAAACGAAATTCGGACGGACGGATGGACGGACGTACCAATTTTTCAGGCTTATGAGCTATTTCTATTGTTCTTTTCTTTTGTTTCCTTGTGGGCTAACTAATGTTTCCTTATGAGCTAACTATTATTAACGGAATGAAGTACTTTGTTCTCTTTTGTCCCAGTGTACCGTTAGTTAGCTCATATACCTTAAATGTTTGTGCGGAAGGACGGACGGACGGAAAGACAGCGCCAAAACTATATCCCCCTCCCGATTCCATCGGCGGGGGATAACAAGCATTTGAAGTGGTTAAATATGTGTCATTGCATACTTATGTCATATGCATCTCTGTAACAATTCTTATAGGATACTTCAACAAGAGGGCCATGATGGCCCTGAAATCGTTCACCTGTATATAGGCCCCCGGAGCGGGTCAGTTTAAACTCCAGGGCTTTTATTTGTACAAACTTGGTAGACACCCATTAAAAGATATTTCATGCTAAACATCTAAGGTCTAGCTCGTTGGGTTTTTTAAAAGAAGATTGTTTAAAGTTGTTTTCTTTACACATATAATAAAAAACAATGACACACCTGGGGGAGGGCCAGTTTTGACCCCAGGGCTTTTATGTGAACAATCTTTGTAGATACTTACTAGAAAATGTTTCATGCTTAATATCTTAACTCTAGCTATTCGGTTTTTTTCAGAGAAGATTTTTAAGTTTTTGCTATACATATATAAAGAAAATCAATGTCCCCCGGGGCGGGGCCAATTTTGACCCCAGGGCTTTTATTTGAACAATCTTTGTAGACACTCACTAGAAGATGCTCCGTGCTTAATATCTAAACTCTAGCTATTTGAGTTTTTTCAAAGAAGATTTTTAAGTTTTTGCTATACACATATAAGATAAATGAATGACCCCCGGGGCGGGGCCAATTTTGACCCCAGGGCTTTTATTTGAACAAACTTTGTAGATACTCACTAGAAGATGTTTTATGCTTAGTATCTAAACTCTAGCTATTTGTTTCTTTCAAAGAAGATTTTTTTCAAGGTTTTGCTATACACATATAAGGAAAATCAATGGCACCCAGGGCGGGGCCAATTTTGACCCCAGAGCTCTTATTTGAACAAACTTGGTACACATCCATTAGAGCATTTTTTATGCTAAATATCTTAGCTCTAGCTCTTTGGGTTCTTTAAAAGAAGATTTTTAAGTTTTTAATATATGCATATTGGGAAAATCAATGACCCCCTGAGGCGGGGCTTATTTTGACCCCAGGGCTTTTATTTGAACAAACTTGGTAGACACCTATTAGAAGATGTTTCATGCTAAATATCTTAGCTCTAGCTCTTTGGGTTTTTTAAAAGAAGATTGTTTAAAGTTGTTTTCTTTACACATATAGTTAAAAACAATGACACACCTGGGGGAGGGCCAGTTTTGACCCCAGGGCTTTTTTTTACTTTTTACTTTATGCATATAGGGACACTCAATGACCCCTGAGGCGGGGCCAATTTTGACCCAAGGGCATTTATTTGAACAAACTTGGTAGACACTCACTAGAAGATGTTTCATGCCAAATATCTAAGCTCTAGCTCTTTGGGCTTTTTAGAAGAAGATATTTAATTTTTTTCTTTTGGTTGCCATGGCAACCAGAGTTCTGCATAGAATTTAAGTTTTTGAACAATTTTCAAAGGTGACCACCAAAGGAACATTCCTGTGAAGTTTGGATGAACTTGGCTTAGTGGTTTATGAGGAGATGTCATTTAAAGTAAAAGTTTACGAACGACGGACGGACGCCGGGCGAAAAGCGATCACAAAATCTCACCCTGTCACTTTGTGACAGGTGAGCTAAAAAAGTACAATGCTAACTAAAAGAGTTATTATTTTCCTTCTTAAATAGATAAGTTTCATTTTGTAAGCAATTAGCATTGTAATTTGTTTAATCAGCCAAAACTCTTCAATATACTTTTATTCGTGCAAAGAATGATTTAGGAGTTTTTTATCATTCACGTTTTGTTTTATTTTTCATTCAAATTACACAAAATAATGCATGTAGGAGGGAATTGAGATGTCAGAAAATAACTAAAGAAACAAACATGAAACTGACAAAGGATAACATCCGATAGAAATAAGAAAATTATAATGGCGAGGCCCGTCCAATATATAAGATGTTACGGGCTTGTTAGAGTTTGTGTTGGTCAATCCAAATGTCTAATAGTTATTGCTCATAAATGCATAGCATCATAAAAATATACAAGAGGGCCATGATGGCCCTGAGTCGCTCACCAGAAACAACTGTTTTTCAGTGTTATTTTTCAAATGAACTTGCTGAAAGGCCAGTCCAGCTCAACTTTCACTTGCCCTTCTAAATATTGAAATATTTTGCCCAAAGGATTTGTAAAAAAATATCTATGTTGCCATGAGACTATGTAGAATAAATGCAAAATAAATGACCACTACAGCAGAGTTAATTTTGATAGTACATTTTTTTCTTTATAACTTTTGTGAATGAATTCACAAGATGTCACATGCAAAATATGTATGGTCTTGACAGTTTGGGACAACAAATTTTTATATAAATACATCCTATATGGTAGCGTAACTGTACTTCAAAAAAATGACAAAAGGCCAAAAAAGGTAAAAAATATCAAAATAACGCCAGATGATAACAAAATCAATTCAGCATCAGAAATTACACCTTTGTCCTCTCAAATCTGTAAGTCAAAAAATAAGAAAGTAGGTCAAATGCTATGAAAAATACCAAAAGTAGGTAAAATAATATCAAAATTCAATTTGGCATCAAAAGTTATACCTATGGTCAGAAATTACACCCCAGGTCCAAACTTAAAGTATGTATGTAAAAAAAAACAAGAAAATGGGTCAAATGGTGTCAAATATATCATAAATAGGTCAGCTGATATAAAAATTCAATTCAACACCAAAAATAACACCCTTAGTCCAAATTCCAAGTATGTATGTAAATAAACAAGGAAGTACATGTAGGTAAAATTTCAAAAATAGATCAGATTATATCAAAATTTGATTCGACATCAGAAATAACACCCTTGGTCCAAATTTCATGTCTGTATGTAAAAAAGCAAGAAAGTAGATCAACTGTTCAAATACACCTGATATCATAATTCAATATGTCATTAGGAAATAACACCCGTGATCCAAATGTCTAGTCTGTACATAAAACAAGATTGCATTTGAGAAAAATGCTATGCCACCGCATTAATACAACACTAAACAAGGGTGTCATAGTCACAAAATACGCCCGTTTACGAAAGCTTTAGATGGAGATGGGGGCATTATGGATAAGTGTTATCTAGCAAGCAAGTTTTTATTCTTGGCACTGTGTTGTTAAATGAACCTTAAAACAAATCAGTAGGGAAGATATGCACAGGATGTGTGACCTTGACCTTGGTCGCAGGGACCTGAATTTTATGCACGGCACTCAGCCTCACAATGATGAACATTTGTGCAAAATTATATTGAAATCCCTCTATGCATGTAGAAGTTTTGCTCCAGACAAGCGTTTTTCTATGAGCTCTAACTGTGACCTTCACCTTTGACCTAGAGACTTGGTTCATGTGCAGGGCACTACGTCTCATGGTGGTGAACAATCCTATAAAGTAACATTAAAATTCCTCCATGCATGTAGAAAATATGCTCCGGACAACATCTGGATATTTAATCATCTCCAGTGACCTTGACCTTGCAAATATTAATCTAAATTAAATGGTCACACCTGTAGTCATGATAGTTACCATTTGTGCTACAATCCATCAATAAATGATGACTAAATGGTCCCTATACACATCTTCAAATTTTTATCTGAACTCTGACCTCTATGTGTAACATTGACTTTGGTCGCAGGGATCTGAATTTTGCGTGCGACACTCAGCCTCACAATGGTGAACATTTGTGCCAAATTATATTGAAATCCCCCTATGAATGTAGAAGTTTTGCTCCGGACAAGCGTTTTTCAATGAGCTCTAAGTGTGACCTTGACCTTTGACCTGGAGACCTGGATCATGCATGGAGCAATACATATCATGGTGGTGAACATTTCCATAAAGTATTATAAAAATTCTTCCATACATGTAGGAGATATGCTCCAGACAAAATCTGGATATTTCACCATCTTTAGTGACCTTGACCTTGCATATATTGACCTAAGGTACATGTGTCACAGCCGTAGTCATGATAATGACTATTTGTGTTACAATCCCTCAATAAATGATGATTAAATCGTCCCTATACACATCTTCATATTTTTATCGAAACTTTGACCTCTATGTGTGACCTTGACCTTGGCCGCAAGGACCTGAATCTTGCGCGCGACACTCCGCCTCACAATGGTGAACATTTGTGCCAAGTAATATTGAAATCCCTCTATACATGTGGAAGTTTTGCTCCGGACAAGCATTTTTCAATGAGCTCTAAGTGTGACCTTGACCTTTGACCTAGAGACCTGGTTCATGTGTGCGACACTGCTCCTCATAGTGGTGAACATTTCTATGAAGTTTCATTAAAATCCCTCCATACATGTAGGAGATATGCTCCGGACAAAATTGGACGCCACCCGCCCGCCCGCCAGCCCGCCAGGGGCGTTCCCATAATACGTCCCGTTTTTCAAACGGGCGTATAAAAGTAGTGTAGGAACAGTTTCTTTTTTATTCTATCCAATTGAAGATTGTCATAATGCATAGATTCCTGACCTATCTATTTCTTATCATCAGATTCGTGGATAAATATATTGTTAATCCAATAAAAGATCAGAGTAGGAATACATCAATGCACTTGAGTCTAGAGAATTTGGTGGTGAAGGTCATATTTCACACAGCCTAAATTTCATGACTACATCAAAGGACTACACAGTAAGACACGCACAATCTAGGTCAGCTGATATCAAAGTTCACTTTACATCTTAATCTGTACACGTGGTTCAAATTTAATAGCTGTACATCAAAGGACAAGAGAGTAAGTCATATCATCAAAATCTAGGGGCGGAACCAATTTTGACCCCAGGGCTATAATTTGAACAATCTTGGTAGAGGTTCACTTCGCAAAGTCGCATGCGATATATTTACCCTCTAGCCTTTGTCAATTCAGAGAAGACGATTTTTCAAGTTTTTACTTTATACATATAAGGAAAACTATCGCCTTTGGGACAGGGCAATTTAAACACTAGGGGCATAATTAAAACAACTTTATTAGAGGACCCATAGATGATATTATATACCAAATATCAAAGCTCTAAGCCTTGTACCTTCAGACAAGAAGATGTTAAATTTTTACTATATTTTTATAGTGAAAATCAATGACCCCTGGGGGTTGGGCAAATTTTGACCCCAGGGCTATTATTTGCACAATTTTGCTAGAGGTTCACTACACAATGTTTAATGCAAAATATCTTAACTATAGCCTTTGTAAATTTAGAGAAGATGATTTTTTTATGTTTTTAGTATAAACATATAAGGAAAACCTATGGCCCCTGGGGCTGGGCTAATTTTGACACTAGAGGCAAAATATGAACAACTTTGGTAGAGTACCTATAGATGATATCATTTAACAAATATTAAAGCTCTAAGCCTTGTACCTTCAGACAATAAGATTTTTTGATTTTTTACTTTATGTATATATTGAAAAGACATTACCCCCGGTGCGGGGACAATTTTGACCCCAGGGCTATAATTTGAACCTTCTTGTTAGAGGTTCACTACACAATCTTTCATGCAAAATATCTAACCTTTAGCAATCGTCAATTGCTAGAATAATTTTGTTTTAAGGTTTTTACTATAAGTTTTTACTATATACATAAAAGGAAAACCAATGACCCCAGGGCTATAATTTTTGTAGGCGTCTAGCAGACAATGCCTAATGCAAAATATCTAAGCTCTAGGCCTTTTGGGTTTTTACAAGAAGATTTTTAAAATTTATTCTTATAATTCCTTTTGGTTGCCATGGCAACAAGATTTCTGCATGAAATGCAATTCTTTAAACAACTTTGGAAGCCCTTCACCCAAGGATCAATCCTGCCAAGCTTGGTTGAAATTGGACTAGTGGTTTTTCACAGGAAAATTTTTAAAAGTTCACTATATAACCTATATAACACAAAAAACACACACACATACACACATACATACACACAGGTGAATCGCTATATGCCACCACATCGCAGATGCTGTGGTGGCATAAAAAAGAAAAATATAGAACTGCCACTGTCATGGCGTGAATATCCCCGCATACCACTTTGTTTGAATCAACAGTGACCATTGAGAGCTCAAAGACAACCTCCCTGCAAAATCTGAGGTTACTAAGCCAGTGCATTGCTATGTAATGGATTCTACATGCTATAATGTGAAAAT